GGCACACGTGGGAAAGTTTACGGCGAGTATCGCACACTGCTATACGGTATATATAATTTATGCACCCTGGTTATTATCAAAATATATTTATTTAAAAATCTTTATTTATACAGAAAATACGCCAAAACCGATGATATATCAAAAGTGGTGGACGAGGGGGTCCGGGAGACCATTGACCTAATTATGGATAAGCAAGGTCTCAATAAGCCGTTTGCGCCCAAACTATTCATTTATAACATGTTCGCCAATATCATTGGCACTATAGTGTTCAGTCAAAAGTATGTGCATATCACCATGATACTAAACTAATAAATAGATAAAAGTTAATTTATGTCCGTAAATGCTTAACTCTAAACAAATATTAAATAGTTTATAATTTATTAACATTAGCATTTACTGGTATAATACAATTTTTAATTATTATTAAATATAATGTTAAACATGATTTATTAAATAAAAATTATACAATCAATATAATAGGTTTGACATTGAGCAAGATGAGTTGAAAAAGTTTAAGTACTGCACCACCGATTTCCAAACTGACCTGGGTAACTGGCTATTTTTGTACGAGTTTGTACCGATTATACGTTGTTTTATGCGTAATCCGTTAATAAAATACGCAAAGTATAAAGATGAAATGATGGAATACAGCGTGGACATTTATTCGTCCCATAATAACACCTACAATAAGGGTGTTAAACGTGATTTTTGTGACACTCTTATTAAGGCTAAACAGGAAGCAGTTGAACAGGATAAGTTAACTGCACCCTATTTTACCGATGAGAACCTAGCTGCATCCGTTAATGACCTGTTTATGGGTAATTTATTTTTTAATTAACATTTAAATATTTAATAAAATTAAAAAGTTAATTTAGATTTATAATTACATGTAGTTTTAAAAATAATTTATGGATTACTCAATAAGTATGTATACAATGTCAAAGGATTGATTAAAGTGTTGTTTATGTATAAATATGAGACAAATTTTAAATATTTTCAGGATAAAATTAATTTTTAAAAATTCTGGCTACTTTGGAAAACCAATATTATTTTGTATATAATTTTTTATTATACCTTAACATAATTTTCAGAATTATCTAGTTTAAATTTTAATAATTTATAGCTAAATACTACTAAAATAAATAATAAATTAATCATGCATACTAAAATTAATTTCTATTTTAAATTTTAAAATTAAAATATAAATTAATAATTACCTAGTTTACAATCTACCATAGTTTTATGGAAAACGCCTATTGGAAGGGGATTTCTGAACCTCAATATTTCCGACAAANGTAACATTTGATCTTGAGAAACATTCTACAATGTCTTTTAATTGGAAAAATAATTTAATATTTAAAAAACGTTTATGCTCATTCACAAATCTAGGAGGTACCATTTTCATTGCGTTTTGCTATATAAAATTTTTATAAGTTTACAAAAATTTGTAGTAAATTATAACATAATTAAACAAATTTTGTTAATAAATACTGTAATTATTATTTAAATTATGAGTATTATATACGATGTACATACACAATATGTTTTTGGCCCACAAAAGCGTTAGCATTTCAATTTTTAATATAAATGTAAATTATTTAAAATTAGGTGTGACTAAAAACCGACATTTTAAAACACAAACAAATTTAAAACAAACTATTAATAAACCAACAATGTTTGTTTTTAAATCATAACTTTATAAAGTAATAAACCCAACTTGAATCCGATTTACCATCATACAGTTGTACTATATTGTTAATCAAATAAAATATGTACGTCAAATGAGGGTAGGTCAAATGATAGACAACCATAAAATATATATGAAAATTATATATTTTTAAAAAATCATTTAAAAATTTTTATATTTTAATATTAATGCTTTTATATTTGCTGCTCAAATGTTTGCGGCTTAATCAAACAATGTTTTGATTAAATATTCATATTATTAAATAATCAAGATTTTTTAGAAAACTAAAAATTACATGTTCTATTTTATTGTGGCACTGCCTTAAAAACCAACTTGGCCTCCTATGGCCTCTTGGCCTCCCCAAAGCGAGAGAGCTGGTTATATATTTAAATAGGATTAAATATTATTTTTTTATTACTTTTTACAAAGTTTTTAATGTGGCTTATAGTTAAATCAGTTAATAATTTAATAATTATAATTGTAATTAAATATAAATAGCTCTCTTCCCATTTCAGGGCCACAAAATTGGGAGGGAGAGAGAGAGAGCTAATAAAAATAATAAAGTAAATTAATAAAAATTAATATTTATTAATAATTAAATATATAACCAGCTCTCTCTCTCTCTCTCTCTCTCTCTCTCTCTCGCTTTGTGGACGCCAAGAGGCCACAGGATGCCAAGTTGATTTTTAAGGTAGTTCCTTATATTATCTCACATTTATTATGCATTTATTTTCTAAATTATTAAATCAAATTCACCTGAACTAATTACATTTAATAAAAAGATTTAAGTTAAAACATAATAAATAATGTTAATTGCTAAAATTCACGCTGTACAAATTCTAGTTTTATTAAACATTAAATTGATAAAATACATAGTGCTCGCTTGCCAGTTTAATATTATACAAAATCATTAGTGTTTTAGTGCAAGAATCAATTAATATAATATATTATATATCAAGGTCAAGAAAATTAATTTGTGTAATTTACAAACCATGTGATTGTTTAATAAATCTTTTGACAAGAACTTGGCATTGAATATAAATGGTAACCATTAATATATTTTAGTCACATTTTGATAATATTGAAAGTGTGTTACGATAAAATGATTATATAATCATGTTTAAAATAAACATTTATATGGGTTTTGCTACATTGTAATCAATAGTATAGCATTTGCTATTCACAAATATATAGTAGTCTGGCATATTTTATGAAATATATACCATTTTCACAATTAAACTACTTTAAAGAAGTTCTATTTTATTTTAAATATCAAAATTTATATATTTTATTATGGATCTATTCAGGTATGTTTTTATATTGTAAAATTTAATTTTACTATATTCCTGGTAAGAATTTATAAATAGGTCATTTTAACTATAATTTAATATTACTATTAATTAGGAAAGAGAGTGAGTAAGTGAGTGAGTGAGTGAGTGAGTGAGTGAGTGAGCGAGTGAGAGAGAGAGAGAGAGAGAGAAATTTATAAATTAATTATACCACATAAATAAAATAATAAACATTTTTAACTGTACTTTTAAACGTAATGTTTGATAATTATTATTAGTTTAAAACAAAGTTAATAAATTTGCTACAAAAAATCGTGATTTTTAAATTTAGTAAACTGTATCTTATACCCTTATTTGCTATTAGATTTACTAGTACTTGTAATAATATTTTATTAATATAACTTATTATTTTTATTTATTGTTATATTATATTGAAATGTAAGAAGTGTGAGCATTCAATATAAGTATTGTATCAAATTAAAATTATTTTTAAATAAAATATTTGCTTATTTTAATTTAGCTCTGATACGTTAATAAAAAGCACAGGGGTCACCTTATTGATATCCCTAGTTGCTTTTTATATTGGTCGTTTTTATGCTAAATTATACAACTACCCGCCTGGACCCGTACCACTACCCATAATTGGCAATGTTTTAAGTAAATACTTTTATTATTAAATCATTAAGATATTAAATATACAGGTTTTATTATAATGTTACATAATAATTTAATTAACACATTTATCATAAGCATCAATGTAGCAATTATGTGTCCAAATGTTTTTATTGTGTGTAATTTAAATTCAATTTGTATAGATAATTTATTTTAATGTGTTATTTTAAAATCAACATTTAGTTAATATTTTTATAATCATAAAACTTTTTTTATATCTAAAAGTGTTTCGAAACTTCACAAAACACTGGAACCTGGAGCTAATTAAACTCACTAAAGTGTACGGACCCGTATTCACTTTGTGGATTGGACCCTTGCCATTTGTATTCATATGTGACCTGGACAATTGCCGCGAGGCATTCAACAAAAGCGAGTTTACTGGACGTCCGAGGTCATATTTTGGTAAATAATTATGTATTTCATTTAATTATACTGTACGAACGCACGCGTTGCATTAATTATTATTAACAAGGTCATTGTCAATGTTACCATAATATGGTAGCTATATTAGCTCATTAATCTTATAAAACTAATGTAAAACCGTTGTAAACCTGGCTACCAGACCGTACTATATCTGAATATGAATACTAATATTTATGAACTATAGGGAATGTATTAAATAATACAAATGCGTGCTAGGTGATAATAATACTTTAGATTCAGAGATAGTACGGTCTGGCAGCCAGGCTTTCAGTTTATGAATTAATTTGTACATTACGGGGAATACCTGATATAATTAACTTAATTAATCAGCTGGTACAAGGTTACATGAACTGTTTTTCAACTCCTATAAACAATTAATTTTATTAAATTATTGTAATTTGTATAAGGTTGCATACATTTTTCAAAGTACCTTTGATTAAAAAAAATAATATGTATAGTAAAGTAATTTTATAATCATTAGGAAAATATTAATTGCTCTCATAAAGGCCCACTAATTATTATTCATTAAAATAACAAAATAAGTACAGATTTACTGAATACGTTACAGTTTCTATTGTATTTATACAATAATTAATGCACAAGTTTTAAATAAGCAATATAATAATAAAATATAACTTTTGCAAATTTTACACTATAAATGAATACATAATTTTATTATTTAAAAATACCCAGGCGACCTTTTTAATAATGAGCGTCATAGCAGTATTATATTCAGCGATTACGGGCACACGTGGGAAAGTTTACGGCGAGTATCGCACACTGCTATACGGTATATATAATTTATGCACCCTGGTTATTATCAAAATATATTTATTTAAAAATCTTTATTTATACAGAAAATACGCCAAAA